TCCAACATCCAGCAACCGACCTCAGCGAGGTTGATCTGGACTCGGGGCGCACTCGACCAGAGCAAGCTGAACGCTCGCAATCGTACGCGTTGCTCCTTTCCTTGATACGGTTGGTCAGCCAGCGGCCTGCAAGTCCATTTGTGTTGCTTTGATCTGGTCCATGTCAAGTCGGCTCCGAGTACGCGACGAATGCTGCACTTGCGCTCGTCGAGTGCGTTGGTCTTTTGAGCTTCACAAATACATCTCATTGCGCTGACGCCCAGGTGGCTACCACAAAAAGGTGTCATTGCATTCACAATTTGATTCACCAAGAATGCTAGGGCAAGTTGCTATCGTGTCGACCGCGCCACACTATCACCCTGTCCCTGCACGACCCTGTGCCACACAGTGGCCGACATCATCGAGGAACCAAAATATATACTTCGATCAAATCAACACAAAACCACCTCAAATTTCGTACGTGAATTCAGTGCCCGCGGTTCAAGCCACTTAATATTTCTGTCGTTGATGTTGACGACATGCTCCTGCAACCAATAGATGGTTCCTTACAAGCCAGTTAGAAGGACTATGGAAGTATGCGAGCTTCCTATAGATGGCGTAGTCACACCTCGCCATTCCAACTCACCTCCTCACAAGATATCAAAAGGATTGACGTCTTGTGAGATAGGGGGGAGCTCAAATATGCCACCTTTGTTGTGTACAAACCACGCCATCGTCGAGTAGGCCCGGTTGTTCGATGCATATTGTTTTGCATGAACTGGAAGCGACGGTCATCGACCAAATGGTAGCAGGTAGTTTTTTAGCGTTTCCACGTAGTCGTCAGAGTTGGACTGAAACCCATCCTGTCCATCGCGGATGACTTGAATATCCTCAGACCAGATGATCTCATTCCTAGTGGTTGACTCGCAGAAGTGGTGGCGTTGGGCATACTTGCTTGGCGCTTCGGGGTGTGCTGCCGCCTCTCGTATTTCATCAGTTTGCCTTGGTCGAAGAGCCGTTGACGTGTCCTGAACGAGACCTCCAAGATGAGTGTCGTCTTCAGCACTCATTGCTTGGACGCCTCGCGAAGTAAGCGACACTGACCAGAACTTTGGGCTTCATGCCTTTGTCCATGGCGCAGAAATCGTCAGGGTCACGCAGGCATCATTGCCAACATCCTTTAACTTGAACGATTAACGATGACAATTGAATCACTTCCAAATTTCCTCGGCACTATCAACTCCCTATATGCACGAAATGATACGATAGAGTTGTGTTCCGCCAAGTCTCTTGTGTTGTGAGATGAACCATTCCAGTGTGAATAGAACCATTTTCGTGTTGGAATGCCGTCTTTCGACGTTATCGGGTGATTTGTTCCATCCCGTCTGCTTCGACCAAACGACACGAGAGAATGAAGATGACAAGCGTGAGACGAACAGCCACTATATGGACAAGTTAAAACCGAGTTGTATGAACCGTCCTGGTCCTTAGTATTTTGGCAACGTGGCGGCGGCAGCCAGGTGGGATTGGATGAAGTCGAAGGCGACCAACACGCGCGAGTACTGACTGGGGTAGTTAGAACTGCAAAAATGATCTAAGCTCGTCACACCGCCGACGTTCTCGATACCGTCGCGGTGGATAATCAACGTGCGCCCATGTCGCCATGGAACGGGACCTTGCTGGTGGAAAAGGCACACAACGTGGAGTCCATGATGTCTTTTCCGCCGTCCATCGAATTTTGGCACTCGACGTTGGACATGATCTCAACTTTGGCTTCCAAGAGGACGGGGCGAGCATCGGGTTCCCGTTGTCGAATTCCTTGAGGAACGATGTCGCGCCGAAGCCACGCGTCCGTACCGTGTTTAGTCGGGTCGTTGGATCGTTGAGCGCGGCGGGAGCAAACTTGGATTCAGATTCCAATTCAAAGACAGAAAGGTTGTAGTCCGGCGAGCTTGCGTTGAAATCCCGGTGCATGGTCATTTTGACGATCTTGATGCGTTCACCGTCCTTGTTCACCGTCCTTGTCGCCGCTCGAGTAGTGCGACCCGACCGACACGAATTTTAACAACGAACCATCGCATGAGGCGGCGGTGAGGAGTGCCTAGGGGGAAATCAAGGTCCTCTGCACAAGGTATCTCCGGACTCGGCCGCACGGAGACTCGCGACGTACGTGTACTGGCCCACGGGGACTTCGGTGCCGCCGACGATGTCTGGTCGGGCGGCGGCAAACGCGGAAAGAGCAGTGAGGGCCGAGATTGCGAAGGATCAGTTTGCAGCACGAGGATCCAACATGTATCTGTCCACAGCATGTCGCCTATCTTCGAACCGTGATGAAGTTCTGCCCCATTTTATCACAGATACGCGCTGTGCGAATGAGGTCGCCTGACGGTATTCATTCACCTTGTGCATCAAACGGATGGGGACGATCTCCATTGTTCTGATGAGCAGAGCAGCATGGGTCGCCCAAGGGTTTGTCCCGCTGCAAGTCCTACAGTATAGCAGGTCTGCTGTGGTGTGCCTGTACGTAGGGATCCTAGTTGAGAAAGAAATGTACCTTAGCGGATGCTAGTCAGTAGGGGCCACGT